AGGAGCGTTCTCGCAGCAAACCAAACGCTCCTGCCCCTCTCCCTTTGACAGATAGAGCACAGCCCCAGCACACAGGCACACACAGGAGGTCCAAAAGTTTACAAGTTTTTTCCTTTTTTTTTTTTAAAAAAAAAAAAAAAAGCCAACCCAACTGAAAGCCTGAAAACTCTGACAGCGGTAGTTTTGATTTCTGTTTCTTTTCTTGGGGGGGGGATAAAAAAAATATGTGACACTCTGAAGCTTTGTTTAACTAAGGGGCAGGGGAAACCCTGAATATTGTCAAACTGACTAAAAAGGTGACAGAGGTTTATAATTACACTCCGCGTTGTTAGGGGGAGGGGGAGGTCTCCGTGCTGTGCTTTACCCCAAAAGGACAGGGGGAGAGCCATGTTTCCCTCTCCTCTGATCACTTTGCTGGAGTACACTTGGGGGAAATCATATGAAATTCTCTATTACTTATTTGATCCTGAAGAAATAAAAAGGCAGGAGAGAAGGGTAGCATTTCAGGCGAAAAGAAGTTCTAATGTCAAATTAAAGTACTTTTAGGAGGAAATGGTCCGCCTAGCATTGAGTCAAACAGCCTACTGTAAAAGCTGTGCATTCCCTCATACGGTCATGAGTTATGACTCATTTGAGATGTAATTCTTGTCTCTCTCTGATCTGCTTTGCTGGTGCAATACACACACACAGAGGGAGAGAGACACACACGCTCACGCAGACACACACACACACACAGAGAGAGAGAGAGAGAGAGAGAGAGAGAGGGAGAGCAAAAATAAATAAATAAAGAAAGAAGGCAGCGATCTGCCCGGCTGGGGAGCGAGGGGGGAGCCCGCTCCGGCTGCGTCCCACCCGTGTGCGTGGATGGGTCCTTTGGCGGGTGGAAATTCGGGTCCCCGTTGGCGCCCTGCGTTTAAATGGGATATACCAATGCCCACATTGTCGCTGTGTTTGGTCGTTAACATAGAGCCTGCGTGCTGCTGAATCAGGGAGTCGAGCCCATGCGAACTGCCATCTGATCCACTCTTATCAATGAAGCAGCAGATCATGGCGGATGGCCCCAGGTGTAAGAGGCGAAAACAAGCCAACCCCCGGAGGAAAAACGGTAAGCCACCC